CTTATATTTAATCATATTCATACCAGATACAGATTGGTGTCTTAATGCTAGTAGACTCCAAAGTCAGACCTTGCTCAGGATTCCTTAAGTTGATATGCAGCGCAGTGAATCAGGAGGGCCTTGTATTCTAAATCTCTGTCTTAAGTAATGAAGGGCCACCCCCAATTCTCTGTCAGATTCTCTTTGTTTGCCATTATTAGACGTCATGTTCTCCTTATCCCTTACTCTGCTTTAACTTTCCTCTTAACATTGGTAACATACTATGCATTCCGTTTATTTATTTAATTAATTGATTTATTTATTTATTTGACAATCTTACTCTCTCCCACATGAAAAAAAAAACTGATTTGAAAAAATCTAAATTTCCTAAGCTGAGGGTGCTGAATCTACATACATTAGGTTCCAGAGGATCTGGCGTACAGACTTCTCAGGATGTCTCTGAATAAGATTTTGTTTTAGAAATGTTTAATTTGTTTGTAGCTTCTCAAAACCCTCACAGTTTTCCTGTAAACAATATTCAGCCCTCATTTCATGGTAACCCTAGAAATCCTGGTCAGTCTCTAGTCTAGGTTAGTACCACTTCAGATGTGACTCAGATGGTGCAAACCAACCAGATTTCTGACATACTATATAATAGCTTTATTATAGTCTCTTGTGCCCACAGACTGGTTTTGCCAGCAACACTTATAGATTGGTTGTAAGCGCTTCTCAATTGAGAAATACGGTGGCTTTTTTTTTTTTTTTTTTGCAGTCCTCCCATGTGACCCATAGTTAATAACATTTTTTTGATTCAGCTAATGTCTGTCAGCAATTAGTTAATTGGTAGTTTGTACCCATATTGACACTAATGTTCTCAACATATAGGGACTTGTTTAATGGCTTCTGTCTTAAAATGATTAGCATATCAAAGGAGTACCACATAATGATAAATTATACTTGTATTTACTTTCATTTCCAGAGTTAATTGTTATTTTTCTATAGTCTTTTGATATTTGCAAAGAGCCTCAATTGAGAATAATCAAGCAAGTGAATCATGACCTAAAACAAAATGTTTTCTCATTATATTAGATGTAGCCTTGACTGGTACCATTTTTCAAAATTGAATTTTCTTTAATAAAATATAAATGATTATAGTTAAGAACACTTGAGATAAACACCGAAGATCTTCCTAGTTGAAGGGACTTCCTGTTTAGTTTTATACAATGCACCTGAAACACTAAGAGTTTTCATACTAGAAAGGCAAGCACAGTGGTTAATTTCATTCATTTGCTTGTTCTGTTATTCCTGCATTAATTGTTTCTGGTTTTCAACTAATTCCCTGTGTATGTGGTAAATATTCATCATAAATATCAGGAACCCCTTTCCATTATAGTCAAAGGCTGAATCAGAAGCACGTTGGGGTCTCAGCAGAACATCATAGCTATTATTACTTTGCCATGTATGTGTGAGTACCTGACACACTTTTGTGGAGGAAGAAGGCAACATTCTGTAGTTTTAGCAGATTTGGAGTCTTTTCCTCCCATTTTAGCCTGTGGCAGTTTCAAATGGCGCAGATAGAAGCCCTGAAAATGTATACTTGTACATTTTAAAATGTCCCTTACTACGTTTTAACCATCCCCTGTTTTCCAAATGGTGCCATTAGTGGTTGCAATAATCATCTGTAATGCTAGCTTCTGAGAACCATGGTACAAGAGCCTCTTTTCTAATTTCCCAGATGGGAGGGAACACATGTACAAGCCTGTTAGAACTGCAGAACTGGAAACAGCACTGTGTGGATTTGTATTTTTGGAACTTTTTGAGCTTATTTAAGCACCCCAAAGCAAACTTAGCTATCCATTAGGAGTCAAATACCATTCAAGGAAAATCTGAGTGTCTTACTAAGAGGAGTAAAACACTGCAGTAGTTCAGAAGATAAGTCAGAAACAACTGGATCGGTGTCTCCAGCGCTTTTTCTGCAGGCTGTCAGATTTAAGGGTTGACCATGGAATCCAGAGTCATGCTTTTGAAGGATTGTCTTCAAGCATTTGTGTTCTTTATTTGAATGATAGAGAAAAGGATGATTAAAAAGGAGGCAAGAGAAATAATTAGAAATTATCCATAGGCATATGGATGAAGCTGCTACTGATAAAGGACCTCAATGACCCCTGGGGTTTTGTCTTTTGTTTTGTTTTGGTTTGCAGTGTGTTTTTGCAGGTTTTGTGATTTGTGTTCACAGCTTCCAGTCTTGAACTGTCACAGTAGAACTCTGAGCCTGACACTAAATATGATGACCCCCTCTACACTCATATCACAGAATGAAGCTCTGTGGATGGCATTTCTTTGATCTTGGATATTCTCGAAGGGTTAGAGTCATATAATTAGGTGGTTTCTATTTGTTGAGTACCCTAAGTATTTTTTTCTAAGTTTCATCCCCCATTTTATAGAAAAGAGGATTCCCATGTTGAATATTTTACTCTCTGTAAAAGAACAAGGAGACTTAAGAAAGTTTAGACTCCCAACCTGGGCTCTGCTGTTAAAACCATCAGTGTCCAGAGAACTTTGTTGTCAGGGGAAGGACAAAGGTCAGCACGTGGTCCCCAGACTTTGATGCTAATAGCAACTGTAGGAAAGTAGGTTCCAAAAGTTATTATCAGATGTGAAGAACAAAAGGTAGGAATCCATATTTTTTAGTCTTCAGCTTGTACAGTCTGCAAACATGGGGGTTTGTACTGCCAAGCACCATGCTGTAACCCTCCCCTCATCACTTCCTGTCCCTCCTGCCTTCTCCCCCAGTTTGAATAAAGCAAGCAGTAGTGGCATACACTTTTAGGCCCAACACTGGGGAGGCAGAGGCAGAGGCAGGCAGAATCTCTATGAGTTAGAGTCCAGCCTATTCTACAGAGTGAGCTCCAGCCTAGCCAAGGCTACACAAGAAACCCTGTTTCGGGGGGGGGGGGGAATTAAGTCTTGGGTGAATATTTGAGTTGATGTACATTTTGATTCTGTCACTTTCCATATTGAGGATACATCTTTGTATAATACGAGGCACAAAATGACAGAAACATGTTTGGGGCCAATTCAGAATTGTTGAAAATTCTGTCCTAACCCCAAACCAGAATTAATTGAGGCTTTTTTAAAAAATGAAACTCAAGTCAGCAATTCGAACAGTTCTTAAAATCAAACATTATAACTCAGTAGAATCCCAAAATACACTGATTTGTTACTTGCTGAGGAATGTTGTAGAAAAAGTCTTTGTTTTTGTAATTAAATCATTGTGTTTATATAAAAACACTGTAGTTTGTAACATACAGTGTGTTGAGTTCTGAGGTCAGGCATTTTAGGACACATTTCTTGGTATGTATGGTGTGATGGCGTACATAGTACAAGGAGTGCAAGCTATATGTTAGGACCAAGACATTGTGAGGTCATACATGCCTTGTAAACAAGCTCTGCTTGAAACACCTCGGATGAATTTCGCATTTGACTTGGAATGAAACTTTGGTTTCAGAATCCTTTTCCTTTTGTCAAGATTTTCATGCCTCCCTCAGTTAGTTGCATTGAGCTGACATAGAGTCTAGCATGATTTCCCTCCTCTCTTCTACTTTTATCTGTGTTTTATCTAGAGCAGGCCATTTGGCTCAGCAGAAAACTCTGCACCCATGAAGCCCATCCATTTTACAGTTCTTCTTCTAGTTTTCACTTACTCCAAGTGTTCCAGAGACCTGTGATCACAGACATGGAGAGCCATGCGTTCTCCGGCTCCAGTTCCCAAGATTCAGAAGAGGGAGTGGGTTTGGACAGATGGAGGCCTCTGCCTGAGGCTCTCAATGCTCACACACAGTTCAAACCTAAGCTGGGACACCTTCCTTGTTTGTCTGAGCCTCCTGTACCCAGGACCTTTGAACTGATGGAGAATTACAGGTCAATTTTTACTGTTTCCAACATGAGAACAATATCCAGTTCCAGTGTTTTAGGTTTTGTTCTTGACTTGTAGACACTGCCAGGTTACTAGGGGTTACGGAAATGTTGAGTATCAGATTAAAGTCATTATGCTTTAGAGTTACTCTGACTCAGCATTTTATTCAGAACTCTGGCAGAAAACTTGATACCTGGCAATAATCATAAAGCACATGCACGTAGATAAAAGTTCTCAGTTTTGATTCAGTACACTTCATCCGTGCATCATCAATACTTCGTTGAATTAGTTCTGATTTTCATTTTTAAGTCTGGTATTCAGTTCTTATCGGTTCAGTTTACCATTAACCTTAAGGTGTCCTCTGATAGATTGATCAGTAGTTGTTATTCTTAGATTAATAGAGAATTTGCTTAAAGTAGTCTCACAACTGGACACATATGATGAGTATGTGTCGCAGTTCCCAAGTAAATCATCACTTTGTTAACGTAGATATGCACCTACCCCCACCCAGCCTTTTGTCTATATAGTTGCTGGCATACTTTATATTTCACAGGAATATATTTCCTCTGGATTTTTGCTATTTAAATAACTATAGCATACTACAAAGGTAGGTATAATGAGGTTATTGGGCCCATATTTTAACATTTTGTAGGTGTTTTAGGATATAAATTATGTTTTTAGCAATATGATTACTCAATGTGTTAACTCTGCTTCTGTCTAATTTGTTACCATAATATTCATTCCCCTGCTTCACTGGGAATATGGGAACAAATTAAATAATTGAGGGCTGTGTGCCTTATTGTGATAGGCTTCAGTTTAGAAGTTTAACTCCCTTAGGAGTGAGGAAGGGTATGCTGGGCCATTTGGTTGAATGAAGACAACTCACCACCATGGTTTCATGCCAGTAGCTGTGAGCTCATCACTGATTCTAGAGTAAGCTGGGCATGATGATACAGGCTGCATCCCTGGCTTTTGGGAGGCAGGAAGGCCAGCCTGAGCTACATAATGGGACCCTGTCACAAAACAAAAACAAAAACAAAAACAAAAACAAACCACAAGTGTTCAGAGAACAGGTGCTTATATTGTTTTTCACTTCCTTTCCAAGGATGTAAATGAAGACCCTGGAGAAGATGTGGCCCTCCTTTCTGTCAGTTTTGAAGATACTGAAGCCACCCAAGTGTACCCCAAGTTGTACTTGTCACCCCGAATTGAGCAGTAAGTGTCAGTGTCATTGACATTATGAGCCAGATGATTCTACTCAGTAAGCCATGTGTCTCACTCTTCCTTTTATGAAGTGTGAACTTTTTTTAAACTTTTTTTAGTTTTGTTTTCTCAGAAATTTGTTTATTGAGGAATTTCTTTTTAAAGATAATTTTCTTTTGTGAGGACACAAGTCCCCACACCTGAGTGTCAGTGCACCCACTTGGATGGATATACCAACAGAGGCCAGAAGAGGGCATCAGGTCCTTTGTAACTAGAGTTACAGGCAGTTGTTAGCTACACCATGTGGGTACTGAGATCTGAACCAGGTCCTCTGCAAGTGTAGCCAGTACTCTTAACTGCTAAGCGATCTCTCCAGCTCTGGATTGAAAGTTCTGGTGGCTTAGTACATGAAGATAATATTTGCAAGTGTGATTAATCTTTTGGTGAATCTTTTTCATGAAATGTGTGGTCTCTGTATTGTGCCTATGAATCCTTGAGAGAATTGTAAGTACACAAAGTCTCAGGGTGTCTCCAGGGGTTTGTAAGCAGTAGTTGTAGCCTGAAAAGGCCTGCTGAATAATATCTGTCCTAATTTATATATTTGAAACTGGCAGAGTTATTTGTGAAAGTATAACCAGTTTCTTTAAAATATTAAGCAAACATTAATTGGAAACTGATAAAGGTAATATTAGAAGTAGATAGTTTTAAATGATGATGTTCGAGTTCTTTCTTTGTTTAAATAGCTCTGTATGGTTTTTTGCAATGTCTGGTCACATAGTAAAAACAGTTTGCTATCATACTTGTGTCTAACCAAGTATCTTTTCTCATTAGTAATGACTTTTATAAAGGCTCACTTTACAATGTGCTTATTGTTGGCTAAATGCTTTAGCAGTTTATTACACTTCAAAGGATGCCTAGGTCCATTGAAAATGGATTATAAACAGATTTGGTTGGGAACTTCTGCTGAGACACATTTTTCATCAACAGAGAAATTTTTACAGGTTCTGACTGAAATGCATTATTAAAGTTCTCTGTAGGTTATTTAGTCAGGGTTGGCAGATTTTTCTGTCTGAGAGTAGATGTGGTTGTCGTCTGATATTAGTATACTGAGCCATTTTCATGTTCTCTAACCTTGGTTGCTCTAAGTTATGAGTCATGGACACCCCAACTTACAAATTGATATGATGCAGCCCTTATACCCCAATGTGGGAGATTGTGAAAGTCAGTAATGTACAGGCATTCTCTCATTTATTTATGTATCTCTAATAAAAGCTAGAGTGGGATTTTACAGTAGCAAGACTGTATTTTGTCCTGCCCAATGCATGAATTTTTAACTTAAAATACTGACCCATGTTAATAAAAGGCCATAAGCTGGAGACAACAATGCAGTATAAAAGGAAGAGGTTCTAGAGTCAAACAGAGATGCATATACCCAAAATTTGGCCTCGGCAACTTGTAAAGTATTAACACCTTGGATCTTATTTCTTCATAAAATAGAAATACTGGTACCTATTTAGTAATTTTATTTTTTAGAATTCTATTAACTGCTGTTAATAGGGTGTTAAGGTTAGAGCCTAGCACTGGGGCAACCCCCACCAAATAGTAGCTATTCGTGCTCTCATTTTCGATGAGGGTTCATGGCAAATGAATGAGTGAGTGAGTAGGTGACAAGGAAGAGTCAGAGGAGAAGTGGAAAGGATAGTATGAAGTGAGCTTGCCCTGTTCATGGACAGTTAGCATGAACTTAATGAGTTAATTCAGATGTTTTGATGATGAGAAAGTTAGAGAAAAACATCCTAAGATGTCTGAGAAATGAGTATTTAGCTAACCATAGGCAGATAATTGCCCTCTTAGAAGAATGTTGATGGTGAGGGGGGTGGAATGTAGGGTCTCACACATGTTATGCAAATGATCTGCTGTTGAGTTGTATCTCCAGTCCAGTGTTTACTGTTTAGTTAGAAATTGTTTCTCAGGCTAGAGAGGTGGCTCAGAGGTTAAGAGCTCTGGCTGCTCTTCCGGAGGTTCTGAGTTCAATTCCCAGCAACCACATGGTGGCTCACAACCATCTGTTATGAGATCTGGTGCCCTCTTCTGGTCTGCAGATATACATGGAAGCAAAATGTTGTATACATAATAAATAAATGAAATATTAAAAAAAAATTGTTTCTCACTAAATTCCCCAGGCTGGTCTTAATGAAGCTTAAGCTGGCCTGGAAATCCTCCTACTTAAGCTCCTGAGCTGCTGGGGCTGCCAGCCTGCACCACTAAGCCTAACTAGAAAGATTTCTGTTGTTCTCCTGAACTGAAGTCAGGATATTTCTTTGAAGTTACTGTGCCGAGTTTGCAAGGAAGCTTGCTAGTAGAATGTCCTTATTCTAAAGACCTAAGATGTGGTGAGACAACTTGAGTGAGGAAAGGTATATTTTAAGTCACTTTTCCTATTTCTAAAACCCAGCTCTTAGGCTGGGTATGTTGGCCAAACCTTTAATCCCAGCACCGTGGAGGCAGAGGCAGGCAGTTTTCTGTGAGTTTGAGGTCAGCCCAGTCTACAGAACGAGTTCCAGGACAGCCAGAGCTACACAAAGAGGCCCATCTCAAAAACCAAAGCAAAATAACAACAACAACAACAACAACAACAAAGCCAAACAAATAAACAGAAGCCCAGCTCTCAGTTTACCTCTCCTTATGTGGAGGGCTGGCTATAGCATGTCTTTCCCATCACTTTTCTGTTGTTCCCTTGACATAGTGTGTCTTCGAAGCTGAAGTGTTCTCAGCTTCTCACTCCTGCTACCCTGTGCCTTTGGTGTCTAGAGCTTTTCCTTTTGGACACAGTGTAGTAGTCTCCCCATGCTAGGGAGATGCAAGTATTCTATGACTTTGTTCAAATGCCCCAACACTGCCTCTGAACAGCCTACCCTCCCCACCACACTAAATTTCTCTTCACCTTACTATCTATCTCCACGTGATGTGCATTTCTGTAATCCTTTGCTGAGCTGCACGATCCTCAGGTTGTTGAATAAATGTACCATTCCATAGTGCCTTCCACAACAATGGCTTAATTTTGAGTCTTATAAGTTAGTTTGTACTTCTCATTCCCAAATTGGAATAGCTATACTGAAAGCTTTAACATTTTTCTTGGTTAGTACAAATTGACCTAACGCAACTATATTTCTAATACTAAAGCAAACAGCCAGACATTACTGTATTTTCAAGTAGAAGTTCTCAACGTGAGATTTTAGAGGAGGGTTAAAATGGAGAATGGTAAACTTCAGGTATGGCTCTGTGAGGGCTTTCACATTTGCTAAATTGATTTCAGTAGTTCCCTTATCTGTGGTTGTATGTTCTGACGATCTCATTTACCCACAATCCACTGATGTCTGAAAATATTAAGTGGAAAAGTTTAAAAATAAACAATTCATAAGTTTTAATTTGTGCACCAACTTGAGAAGCCTTATGAAATCTTGTGTGGTCCTGCTCCATCTTGCCTGGGATAGTAGTCACCTGTTTGTCCAGCTTTTCCATGCTGTACATGCTCCCTACCTATTAGTCATTAGTAAATGTCTTATCAGATTGGCTGTCATGGTTTTTCAGTGGCTGTGTTCAGGAAACCCTTTTTTACTTAATAATAGCCCAAAGTGCAAGAATAGTGATGCTGGTAATTCAGACATGCCAATGAGAAGTCCTGGCTTGCTTAAAATGATTTCACTTCAAGTGGAGAGGTGAACATTTTCAACTTGTGGGCTGGGCAATCACGATGGCTGGGCACAGTGGCTGGGTATGGTGGTACATGTGTTTAAATCCCAGAACTTGGGAGGCAGAGGCAGGAGGAGGATCTCTGTAAGTTTGAGGCCATTCAGTTCACTCAGTTCTACAGTAAGCAGATCTTGTTTCCATGAAATTGTGGAGGAGGAGAAACCTGTGCTAGTTTTCTCTTGCATGTTAGACTGTAGAAGTTGTTATTGTTTTGTTTCGTTGTGGTTATTGTTAATGTCATACTTTATATTTATAAATTAAACTTTGTCATAGTTAAGTACGCATATAGCAAAACCCAGGGTATTTGTGATTCAGTACTGTCTGTGGTTTGAGGCATCGGCTGAGAATCCTGGAGCATATCCCTCATGGATAAAGGGGACTGTTGTATCCGCTAATTCTTGCAGAGTTCAGAGCATAAAAGAGGAATAATGTCATTTCAGGAAGGCGATGGCCATGGGGTAAATTTTCAGAACTGAGTGAAGGGGATTAGTATTATCTTGGACATTGTGTTAAGCTTTCATTTGATACCTATGTTTTGTGTTACCCAGCCAATTCTTAGCTGTGGGAAAGGCATCCCAAACTAGACTCAGCTGGCTGTTGTCTAGCTGAGGGTCTATTCCTTTTGGTTACTGCTATGGTGCCTTCTGAGAAGTCCCAAGCCTCATGCAGGGTATCTCACAGGCATTAACTCCAGGAGACCAAGAGCCTGTTACACATTATTTAAAAATGGTCAAAAGAAGTCTAGCTTCTCTACCTCCCAGTACATGGGCAAAGGGAAATTCCAGGCCTGTCTGGCTATTATCACTCTGTCCCAGCTTGTCTGTGCAATAGACAAGGATATTAACTAGTCCCAGAAATAGAAATAGAAAAATACTACTTAGGGTGTTGTCATCACATGAAGGAAAAGGGATCAATTTGTTATACTCTAAAGATTTTAACAATATGAGTACCAAATGTCCCCAAATTAGACAATCCCCACGAAAAAGAACATCTGTCGGATACATTGGTCAAAAACTCTCAAGTGCCTTATGATTTTATGGTATTCTGAAATCTGTGTTTTTCTAGGACCCAGGAATAGTTGCCTGGTGTCTTTAACAGCCCACGGCACATGGCTTACATGCCCTCAGGGTGTGGAGATGCCTATTGTTCTCAAGTCTCCCACTGTGCACACATAAGATTGAAGAAGAAACACTTCTGAAAAGAACTTCATGTTCTTCAGGCATTATGAAATAAACATATTTCATGTACTATATACATTT